AAGTAACTTATTCCACCTATTGTACTCCAGTAACTATATTTTGTACAATACAACCCTTCAACATCTTAAACTTTGTGTGACAGATCATCCAATGAAAGCATACAACTCCAACTCAATGATACACCTCAAATAAAAGACAGCCATGTAGAACAGACGTATCTTTTAATATCCAAAACAGCAACCTGTTCTGGAATGCTTTCTCCCTTCACTGTTATTCTTCATCTGACAGCATCCACTCTGAGTGCTTACTACTTATAGGGAAACACTTATTTCTTCTCCCTTTCCATGATAAAAATATGAAAAAGGTTCTACCATGGTCTTTCATAGCAGATGCAACTGGAATAAAGAACCAGGTCACAGAAATATTTTATATATCCAACCACTATAGCAAAGAATTTGCTTTAAAATCATCAAAACTTTTATAAAAAAGTCAAATTTACTATGACATTTAATATCTGCAGTACGATGTATTCTGTTACTACTTAGTCTGTAGAATTTCTCGTGTTTCGCAATACCTGTAAAATGTGTAAGGACACTTTCTGTAATAGAATATACATGTTTTAAGCTACATAAGCATTTTCTAGTTCAGCATCTCACACTATTATACAAGTTGAAATTATTGGAGCTGTCAAAGAACAACTTGTTGCACATTTTACAGGCATAAAGGTTTGGTGACTTAGCATTACAGGAGAAATCTGTGATGCAGCCTAGGCTTATTTAATTCCTAGTTTCATGGTTTAGCAAAGAAAGCACCTTCCACTCCCAATGTTTTTTTTTTTTAAAAAAAAAAAGGACATGGTGGCCAGAACAGAGAACCAAATTTAAGAAAGGACACTATCGCTTCGGTGATTTCAGAAGGGAACTACACCTGCTTATTCTTCTGTAAGTGCACGGGGACTCCTCTATTCACTGAGCCACAGACTTGTTGAGGTTGAAAGGCTCCTCGGGACAACATCTAAGCCCAACTCCATGTTTGCTTATATAGAAGACAAATAGAAGGTTGCAAAAGAAAGGTCAGCAGCAGATAGTCATTTCTGCAAATGGCTTTAAATGGTCTAATGGGTACCTGGCACCAAAAATAAGGCAGCAATTGAAGATCCAGCCATCAGCTATTAAGGCATCAAACATTTTGGACTGGGGGAAGGAGGGGATATGGACATTAATCCTCCATCCTAATTCCAGTAGGGATGGACAAAGCATTGCTCAAAAAGGACTCTACTTTGGACAATTCATTTCCATTTGCTACAATGTGGGAACTGTCCAGCTAATGAACTGGGCACTGCTGGCAAAGCTTGCCCTCTCAGCCTGCAGTGCCCCTAAGCTCCCAGCTAGTGCCACAAGAATCAAGGGAAGGCCAGTAAATCATTGAGTTTCTGCTCCTTTTGGTAGCAAAGAAATCCTGATTGATAAAACCATTTCACTGAGTTTTTCTTCTCTTTACACTCATGCAACTTTTCCCTTCTTCATTTGCCTTGAAAAACGTCAGCTGTACAGCTGTGTGGATACAGGGTATCCCGACACAGGAATGGAGCGCTGCTGATGAAAGCCACTCAACATCATCGCTATATAAATACTTAGACACTAAACATGCCCATCTTGTTTAGCAGAAACTCATGTCCACACACTTTTAGAATGTTTTTTACTTTTCAAAGTTGACTTGAGCCTCAAAATGCATGTTCCTTGAGCCCCAAAACACGTGTTCAGCTGCTTACGTAAGTGATGGGATATTCCAAATTCCTAGAAACTCCTCAAGCCAACCACGGGCCTCAGGCAGCCGCGTACTCCTCAAGAAACTAATTTTCAACAGAGACAAGATAAGCAAACAAATCCCATAATCCTAAAGCTGAGTAAATGGCCCATGGAGCATGGGATCTGTGATAGCAAAATTATAGCTTGTACAAGAGCAGAATTTCCTGTAATCATTCACTTGTGTGCTATTCCTTATAGGAGGTTCCTAAGTAACTCCGTTTTTCCCTTCTCAGATGATGAGCGGAGCTGAATTTTTACAGTTTACAGAATACATCCTTCTACTTTACTACTTCCCAAAGTCCACAGAGTTTCTCCTGCAGGAACAGGGAAGATTCCCCTCAGTGGCAACAAAATCTTTTTGCTCTTCAGGCTCAGCTCTCTTTTCATTGTATTTAGCACACATCTATTTGAAAACTCCTTTGAAAATGTAGATTAACCAATCCAAAAACATTCAAGTGAATCTTTTGAGAACCTCAAGTAATAACTTTTAGGTAATAACTATCCACTGTCTACACATTCCACAATCCAATTTTGTTATAATGTGGAAGAGGAGCAGGGAAATGATATTGTGAAAACTTGGCAGTAAACATCTGGAGTACTCAGCTGTTTGGGTGGACTTTTAGCACTGATATCTAACAGAATTCGTAAGTAAAAATTGCTTCATTTTAACAGAGGATCAATTTTCAACCATTCAGAAAATACTCCCACATTGCTCTGTGTTTTCCTCTCTCCCAGTTAAGCTATGCATGAGATGAGGTTTCGGGAAGGTGCTAGTGAAACAAGTTGTGCCCAGTAACACATAAAATTACCTAGTGCAGAAAAATCCTTCAACACTTGTTATATGTTCAGCTGCAAACCCCATAAAACAGGGGAGCCGAGGGGATGGTTTGATTAGCTCGTCTGCGGAAACGGTGAGGGGGTACAGGGCACGCAAACCCCACGCCCTGCAAACCAGTCACAGACACATCTTGCTTGGAAAAATCAAACATCAGCTTGCGGTGGTGCCCCGAATTAGCGAGGTTCCCAAAGAGGCAACGCAGGAGCGCAGGGAAAGCCGCTTTTCCAAGGATTCCCGGGGGAGCCTGCAGCTCCCCATCCCTCGCGGCCGCTGGCAGCCGGCCGGGGTTCCCGCTGCCTGGCACCGCTGAGGGAACTAGAGAGGAAGGCCAAAAGCAGCTGCGAATTTTCCACAACTTTCGCTACGGTTCCTCCGCACGGGTCTCACTTCTGGTTTTCCCACGTGACTGACAGGATGCGTCTGAGCAGGCAAGGCCAAAAGCAACCACAGGGGGAGCTCCCAAAGCACTTCTTCTTCTAAGCTGTTCTCTAAACTCAGCTTTTACTCGTTTTTTCTTCTGTCTACAATGGGCAGTTGTAAGATGCTAAAGTAATTAAAGCAGCATTTATTTTACTTTGGGTTAGCCAGTTAAGAATTCTGTATTCCAAAAACCATGACAAATGTACCCATTTACTGTTTACACACATGACTTCTGGGTGCTCTTTCCTGATTGACTATAAATATTACTTCATAAGATGTAGTGTGAACTGAACATAGCAAGAAAATTTCAAGAAAGAAAAAAAATTATAACTAATTAATAACTGAGAGAGAATATATTTAAAGCACCTGTCATGACTATCTTGCTCTTGAGTAAAAACAGGCTGATCACAGCAATATGCTTAAGTAATGTCACTGTTTTACCTTTCAAAACAGAAAGTGTTAAAAAAGTCTACCATTTCAGGAATAAAATCAGTGTAATTGTTTTCAAAATTCCTATATGCTTGAATCATAGTAAGTATTACTGAAGAAACTCCTGTCCACAACTGGCAGACTTTTCAGAAGAGTCATCTTGCCTGTTAATGCAGCATGGGGGGAAGGAGGGAGGGAAAAAAGGGTATTCCATAATCCTTCATAACTAAAGCTTTCTCTGCTTTGTCTCAAAGAAAACTTAAATAAATCCAGTTAGCTTAATTACAGGAATAATCCAGAAGGAGCACAAACACTGTTAAAATTTTTGGTCAATGATGCGAGTCCAAAAAAAAAAATCAGCAAAAAAGATCCCACGTTATTTTGGCTCTGCTTATTTTGCTTCAGTATAAAAATGGTCTTTCAATAGCATGAAGAACAGAAGGCAACTTCCCCCCCAGTTAACAGATGTGAAAACCTGGTTGCTTCACTCAGATTAAGATTTCCTGGCACAAGGACATCTTACCCTTTATTAAGCCACCAAAGCAGAGATTTTTAGGTGACATGACTTCCAAGTTTGACAGTCAAACTTCTTTCAGTTAAGAATTTTGATTAGTCAACTCATAAAGGCAATTTCATTTCATTTCAAATTCTTCATTTCAGAAGTATTCCACCAAACATTTCAAGTATTCCATCATGTTTGGCTTTTAAGAATAATTTCTGGAAAAACAACTATGCTTTAGCAATGTTCATTTGAGACCACATATAGTAAACACAGTTCAAAAGTAAAATACTTTATACTTAATCCCGAGACTCAGTTGTGAAATGCTGGTATAATAAAACACTACAGTAGTTATTATGTCCCATGCTGAAAATACTTGAAACTGTCAATGTTCTTAGCTCTAATTTCAAGGTGCTTAAAAACAAGCAAAAAACACTCTGCAAGAAACCCACCATTTATTAAGTCCTTCGCCTTTCTGTAGCCCCT